AAACATTTGAAATGACTGTGTGAAAAAAGTTTTTTGAAATTGTTGCAAATTTGTTAAAAATAAAAAACCTGAAAAATCACATGTACATAAGTATTCACAGCCTTTGGTCAATACTTTGTTCATGCACTTTTGGCAGCAATTGCAGCCTCAAATCTTTTTGAATATGATGCCATAAGCTTGGCATACCTGTCGTTGGGAATTTTTGCCAATTTCTCTTTGCAGTACCTCTCAAACTCTTTCAGTTTGGATGGGAAGCGACAGTGTACAGCCATTTTCAGATCTTTACAGCGATGTTTAATAGGATTTGGATCTGGGCTCTGGCTGGGCCATTCAAGGACATTCACTAAGTTGTTGTGAAGCCACTCCATTAAAATTTTGGCGGTGTGCTTTGGGTCATTGTCCTGCAAGAAGATGAACCGTTGCCCCAGTCTGAGGTCAAGAGCACTCTGAAGCAGGTTTTGATTCAGGATGTCTCTGTACATGGCTGCATTCATCTTTCCCTCTATCCTGACTAGTCTTCCAGTTCCTGCTGCTGAAAGACATCTCACACAGCATATTGCTGCCATCACCATGCTTTACTGTAGGGATGATATTAGCCTCAATTTAGCCTCAATACTTATGTACATGTGACTTTTCAGGTTTTTAATTTTTAATAAATTTGCAACAATTTCAAAAATTCTTTTTTTTCACATTGTCATTATGGGGTATAGTGTGTAAAAATTTGAGGAAATAAATGAATATAATCCATTTTGAAATAAGGCTATAACATAAAAATGGGGAAAAAGTGAAGCGCTATGAATACTTTCCGGATGCACTGTGTGTGTGTGTGTGTGTAAATGTATATATATATATATATATATATATATATATATATATATATATATATATATATATATATATATATATGAAGTTTGAGAACATTAGTCTTGTAATTTCAGGTTGTTGCAAAAAGAAAAAAAACCTTTCTATAAAAGTGAATGTAATCCATAAAATGTAATATAATACAATACTAATTACTAGGGTATATTCTCTAATATAATACTAACATTAAATGTGCAGAAAATAGTGTTGAATGTTGGCAGAAAAACAAAAATAAATAAATAATTGTAGAATTAATTATTTAAAAAAACTAAAATCTAATTTCTGGATGAACGGTTGCTTTTTTCTATGCGTCTATGAAGTCAAGAACTGAAGTTCCTTCTGCTCAGACACAACTTCATGTAATATCATGCATCTTACATGTAGTTGTGTCTAAGCATAACAAATGGGTCCGCCGTTGACGTCATACAGGCTTTAAATTTTAACGATTTAGCCCCAAAGGTAAATGTGTGCGCCAGAAACTGCAGGGCACCCTGAATGTGTTTTACTCCATGTCCATGGCCCAGTTTGGAAGGTGCAAGGTTTGACCTGGTCAGGGCTAGGCTCAGTGGGAACCAGCTGTTTCAGACTCTGTGAGACAGAGGGTTAGCCATGGGAGGGAGTGATGAGCCAGTCATCAGGGCTTACACTGCCCAGCTGTGCCACCGAGCCTGGCAGACTCACACCTGCCCTTAACCCGCTGTGCAATAACACCAAGCACACACCTGCTTCTTCTTTCCATCATCCTCTGTCCCTCGGTAGAGCACTCTGGCCAATAAGGAAGAGGCAGGACTCGTCTGTGTCCCCAGACAACTGACCCATTACGTGAGTCTGCAGTAAAGGAAATCGCACGCACTTTGACATTTTGCCTCATATCTTTCAGTGTATATTTTTTTTGATAGAGACGGGCTAATGTGTCATGCGGCGCAGTTTCCACCCCTTCATCCAACCCCCACTCCGGGCTAATTCTCTCTGGCAGGGAGACCTGTAAAAATCAATAGGGAAAATGTCCTGAAACAGCCAATCTAGCAACCATCTGCCCTGGTACTCCACTGAGACAAAGACCAATGTCCCCTGGGATAGTGACGGAAGAGACAGACAGCACAACACGCATACAAACTCAATTACTCACTACAACTAAAACAGTCTTTTATTTTGCAAACTCAGGCTTACTGTCTTATACTGCCTGCCACTTTTTTTTCAGCTAAACTAGTGTTAACATAAATACAAACATTTAGATTGGTTTGCGTATTAGTCTTTTCTAATCTCAAGCAATTTTTCTTAAGAATAAACTATAGCTAACAAATGCAGTATTAAGTAAATGCATTGAGCTATAAATCTGTGTTAGATGCTGTCAGAACCTATTAAATGATTAAATGTAGCATTTGCTTTGTTAATCAAACATAGAATTCAATTATTCTTATCATGACATTTTCTCTCATTCTTAGTTTTTCTGACTCAGATTATAGTAATTTAATTGCTATATGTAACTAATGAATTTTAATAAGGAAACAGTTTTATTTTCAAAGTAATGTTGGTGGCTCCTAGGAAAAACAATAGAACAAAAATCGGTATGGCTAGAAAATCTAAAACCACGGCATACCAAAAATATATAGCAGTAAACAAAATGATGGCAGAATGAGACATTTGTATATTACTTGCTTTAATGAGACCACAAGTTTAGGTTAGTGGAATGTGAAAAACACAAAATTATTATCAAATTATTTTTGTTGGTAGCGTCACAGTAGCGCAGGGGGTAGCATGATCACCTCACAGCAAGAAGGTCGCTGGATCGAGCTCCGGCTGGGTCAGTTGGCATTTCTGTGTGGAGTTTGCATGTTCTCTCCGAGTTCGCGTGGGTTTCCTTCGGGTGCAAAGACATGCGCTATAGGTAAATTGAATAAGCTAAAATGTCCATAGTGTATGTGTGTGAAAGAGCGTGTATGGGTGTTTCCCAGTGTTAAGTTGTGGCTGGAAGGGCATCCACTGTGTAAAACATACAGTTGAAGTCAGAATTATTAGCCCCCCTTAATTATTAGACCCCCTGTTTATTTTCCCCCCAATTTCTGTTTAACAGAGAGTAGATTTTTTTTCAACACATTTCTAAACAATAGTTTTAATAACTGATTTCTGATAACTGATTTATTTTATCTTTGCTATGATGACAGTAAATTATATTTTTATATTTTACTAGATGTTTTTCAGGACACTTCTATACAGCTTAAAGGGACATTTAAAGGCTTAACTCGGTTAATTAAGTTAACTAGGCAGGTTAGGGTAATTAGGCAAGTTATTGTATAATGATGGTTTGTTCTGTAGACTTTCAAAAAAATTTGCTTAAAGGGGCTAATAATTTTGTTCTTAAAATGGTGTTTAAAAAAATTAATAACTGCTTTTATTCTAGCCAAAATAAAACTTTTTTCCAGAAGAAAAAACATTATCAGACATACTGTGAAAATATCCTTGCTTCGTTAAACATAATTTGAGAAATATTTAAAAAAGCAAAAAAAAATTCAAAGGGGGGCTTATAATTCTGACTTCAACTGTATGATGGATAAGTTGGCGGTTCATTCTAATGTGGTGACCCCTGATGAAGAAAGGGACAAAATGAAAATAATAAATGAATGAATTACTTTTGTTGGCAAAAAAAGACATTTTACAGGTAAATTAATGCAGAGTAAACAAAAATCTTACAAGTTTAAGTATGCAAAGTGACTACATTCGGTTATTATTAATTATGTTTATTAGTTATTAATTATTGTTTTCCTTTTTTCTCTCTTTTATTTAATTGGCAGCCATTCTCCTGCACATTTTTCAGTAAGTAGGTTTTTCTTGATCACAAAACGCTCTCCAAACAAACACACTTAAATTTGCTTAGAATATTTACAATAACATAACATCAAAATGTTTGAATAAGGGGTAAAATATAAACTTTCATTGGCCAGACATTACTTCTGGCAACATTATGCACACACACACACACACACACACACACACACACACACACACACACACACACACACACACACACACACACACACACACACACCACATGTATTAAGATTAAACATCTGAATGTAAAATGTGTCATCTTAGACGTCATACATTGTGATGAATTTTAACACTACAAGCAAGTTCATATTATTTAGACTACAGATAGATAGATAGATAGATAGATAGATAGATAGATAGATAGATAGATAGATAGATAGATAGATAGATAGATAGATAGATAGATAGATAGATAGATAGATAGATGAGCACGAATTAAGTAAACGTTTGCAGTATGAGCGGTCAGTTACAGGACTGCTATGGGCAACAATCATTATTTAGAAATATTACACTTTTTAGGTTGCGTTTTTATGGATTTCAGGAATTAACTGCTATTAGGAGTGTTTCTGGCTTGCCCACAGGGTGAAAAACCATCCTGATGAGTCAATTACCCTTTACAGAACAATAACCAGATCAGTACTGCGAATCAATGCCATCAATTGCGTTGCTGAAACAGTTGCAATGCTCTTTGCGGTAATTTGTGCCATTAGAGAAGCTAAAACTCATTTCTAAGTGCTAAGCCTCTTATTTCAGAATTAAAATGTTTAAAGTAGCCCCGATCTTGTCTGTGAAGCGCTTAATCCTACTACTTGTGAAACATCTGAGAAGATCTTCAGACTTTTTTTCAGCATTCGCCTACGCTTGAACATTGCATCATAACATTAATTATTTTCCAAACGACAGTTCCAACTTTATAGGCAGCTTTGCGCTGTGAGATACCCGTAATGTATCATTTCCAGCAGATATGACTACATAGAGACTTGCCTCACGTTACAATCTGCAACTTCTGCTTCTGTTTGTTGCGTTCTCTCCGGCCGTATGAGCGACGCCAGTGCGCTGCCGCTGCTATATAGCTCTCTAAAAATAGCTCACCTTTCACTGCCTTCTACGGCCCGATTGACAAGTGTCACGAGCCAATCGCGCTATATTATTCAGATTTCACTCCTCCTCTTTAGCCATTTAAGCACCGCCTTACTTGGACGCCAGTGAGATCATCAACCTTATTTACCGTATATGGTCACGCACGGAATTGATTGACAACAAACCACGCCCCCTCGGCTCCCTTTGCTTCCTCTCGCTCGCGAGGCAGCGAGCCCAGCAACTTGCCTTGGTGATCCACGGCATTCAGGAGAAAGGCTACCTGGAATTTATAGCGCAAAAGACACAGAGGCAATGCGGAAATAGGTGGACACTTCATGTCACCGAGTTTGCATCCCACTCCCAGGCTGAGGATCTGAGAGTTCGCGGGGACTGCAATTAAGTGACAAGAATTGTTTTTTATTTTTTCCTTCCTTTTTTTTCCATTAGCGCTTAAAACAACCAGCTTTAACTACACTTCACGGAGGATTTGAAGCATTCCTTTTTGCGTCTGACAGCGGGCTGAGAAGAAAACAATTTATACCTGAGGATCAAAGCATCAGTTTTGTTTTTCTTGTGAGCATCAACATGGACGTGTTGGCGAATTACAGTATTTTTCAGGAACTTCAGCTGGTGCACGACACGGGCTACTTCTCAGCGATGCCGTCGCTGGAGGAGAACTGGCAGCAGGTGAGAGAGTTTGCACGAAACTACTTGTTTACTGTTAGTTGTTTGCGTAAATAAGCATTGCTTATGTGCGCAGATGTACCTGATGGAAACATTCACAACTTCACCGTGCGCGCGCCTATCCCCAAACACGCTGTCCAAATTTTTGCGCGTAGTGGATTTTAGTGATGCAGGTGCTGTGTTGCTGCTTTCATATGAAAGCATGAAGCTAGAACTCCGTTCTTTTTATTTTAGCGACGTGAAAGTGATTATTAGTGAGAAGAATAGTCTGCAATACGTTGTGTGCCAATGTAGTGTACTTCTTAGTGTTATACTCCAGGCAAAACAGAGTGACAGAATGAGACACGAGATGAATCATGTGCATTATTTCTGGCTGAAACTGACTGAATGGCGTTTTGTTAAAGGCGCACGTAATATGGATGGAGAAAGTAAGAGCTTCGCTAACAATAAGCGACTTGTTATTAAATAATGCATTCGCATCTGTCAGATTACTTCGTGTTTTTCAGCACGACGATATCAAGAGCAGTTCCCGATCGTCATGTATTATGTATTACCTCCGCCGCGAGGGTGCGCGCGTGAGTGGATGTGAGGAGAATGCATTCAAATCACACTTTTTTTCTTTCTTTCTGAGAGCTGCTGTGCATCTGTATAACAATTTGCTGACTCTTGAAGGGTAAAGGTAATCAATGATAATAGCTGTGTTTTACATTTTTATGACATCCCACTTAAGCCTTCTGGAAGATCTGGTGGAAGTGATGCACATTGGGAAATATCTGTCAGGGTCATGTTTTAAGTGACGTGAGGTCTGTGTAAAATCAATGCAAATCAATTGCTTTGTGTCAGGCAATAATTGTTTAGTAGTTAAATACAGTACTGATAACATTGGGATTTGGATTTTGTGTGAATTAAAAAGCATTAATGCAATATTACGGTTTACCAATTGTGGTAGAAGGACTTCTGAAAATCGATGTGACGATGGGCGCCTCTGCAGGCATGCACCGGCTGTCTTGAGCTCATTGCAATTCCATGTGCTCAACTGCAGGGAAATGCAGCGAGTGGTTATTTATCGCTAGAGTGTGGACTTGAAACAGATCTCCCCCTACCAGCAACTCAAACGGCACTTCTACACAACACAAATATTACCAGATAGCAAATGCAAATATAGACATATTGGTATGAGTATCGAAGGAAAATATGAACCGGCAAAATCATCTTAATGATTAAATGAATATGTCGTGCAATAAGACAGTTCTGGTGTTAATCAAAGTCTTATGATCATATCAGATAATAGCTTGTGTGTGTGTGAAGCATTCATACCCTGCAGTGTTGTGAATTGGCTGTCCAAGCACACAAGATTTACAATTTTGCCTGCCGTTTGACACTTCTTTGGCCATGTGCATGATAGAAACCAAGAGAATTTGAGGGGGTAAAACACACACACACACACACACACACACACACAAATCAAGAAAGAGCTACCAAGCTAATAATAATTCAATAGAAACAAGCTCATGTTGTGAGCTTGTAAAACCTGCAGATGTGTTCATATGCCAGCGCCATTGGCAAAGATAGTTTAGAGACAGCAGAGAGTATCAGCTCACATAAGTGGAGGAGGGGAGCAAAAAAATATTACTTGCATTTAATGATAAGAAAATGAGGATGGAGAGGGGGAAAAGGCAGAGGTCTCTGTAGACAGGTAAATATACAAGCTTTTTTTGTTTGAGTGACATCATAGTTAAAATTTTATGCGTTTACAGGTTGGGGTAGTTTTAAAGCGTAGCCCTAGATCTGCCAGCAAAAGGTAAACAGCACCCTTTGAGCAGGGGACAAGATGGATAGCTGTGGTCGGCCCCTTGCGAGTGGAGCATGAATCAGACCTTAATGGATGCGATATGGGTGAATTGAGTTTCAGAGCTAAGGCTGCGAGCAGGAATCGGGCATAGGGTGCATAGAGGGGAGGGCGGCAGAGGTTATGTGCTTGGGGATGAGAAGTGGTTGCCTGTTGAACGTGATGAAGTCCTATCGAGGCCTGACATGCACTGCATCCATTCCCCATGAGGGATGCCAACTGCTGGCACAGTCTCCCCCAATTTCAACAAAGACTCTATCTCTCACTGTCAAGAAGAGACACAGAAGACAGAGAGAAACAAGCTCAGGGTATCACAGCTCGCCAACTTTTCTTGGGGCAGAGAAGAGAGGAATTCTTTCCGCGGTGACCTGCAAGCGAGGTTAATTCAAAGAACGGCTGTTTGTGCAACAAGAGAGCCGCTGTTGGCTCTCACCCCCTCCTTATGCAGTGCCACCTAATACAACTCTTAGATATTCTCAGTGGAGACTGGAGGAGCAGGTGGAGTGGCCTAGGGAATGAAGCAGAAGCAGTAAACAACACCATTAGAGGCAGTCAATGCAGCCTGGCCAATTAGTAAGGATCACCGAAGAGACAGGTTGGGGGCTAAGTCTGTTTGTCTGCACCTATCCATCTGTCCTCCATCAGCTAGTGCACCACTTGGACTGTTGTTGTGGTCCTCTGAAAAGCAGGCATTTTTGGGGTCACAGAAAAAATCTCTTACAAAGTCTGGCAAACCTGTTCTTACAACACTCTTCTCTGCATCAAGTGCTAAGTCCAGGAAGATTCTAACATCACTCATTCCAAATGACTTTGCAGGGACACAAGCAGAATGCCATTGTTGCACACCTTTCCCAAAACATGCACAGGACTACTGCTACTGTAAGTGTTGCAAAGCAAACCCACGAGACATGATTATCCTGATAACACCCAGCAAAACCTAAAAGCTACTGTTCTATCAATAGCTTTTATGCTAAAGGTTGAGGAATATAATCTGAGATGTGGTGAACTTCTCAAAGCTCACTGGCAGCTGGAGGGCAGACGACTGACCCACAGAAACACATCACAGTCAGTAGAACTGGAACACGTCTGAGCAGGGTCACATAAACCCCAGAGAGAAGCTGAAGGCAGCAGCTATCTGAGGCACAGGCGCTGCAGCACTCAAACATTGAGCCCGGTCTGTCCCAGAGAAGCCCAGTTTGACAAGATAATGTATCACACTGCTTGCATATTCTGTGCTGTGAGTTTTTGCATTTCACAGCCCAGTAACTTTTCGAAACAAAGGGCTAGATAGTTGGGTCTGTGCATGGGGGTTGGGAAAGAGGCGGTACATCTACATGATACCATTAAAAATGGATTATTTCAGGCTCTGTCAGTATTCTCATGGAAGTTCCACACCTAATTGTAGAAGCCCACCGTATTCAATAGCTTGCCCCTCTGTGATTGTTTGCCAATTTCCATTTGCAGAACATGGAGCAGGTAGTTGGCCTGTTTTTGTTTCTGGCTGTACCTTTATCACGTTCCTTCACCGTCCACATTGAGCTAGCACCATCTGAAGGCATTCAAGCTTTCTCTGGGCAGCCAACACTGAAATGTGCATTATGTAATACCCTGAGGAACACAGCTGCTTTCTCACAGTATATCTTCTGACAGCACAGAGGATTCTCAAGCTCTTTTCTGGTCCCTTTCTGCAATTGGTAAAGCTCCAGGACACCAAAGTAATGGGCAAACACATTATCTTGTTGACGGCACAAGAGAAAGCAGCCCTGAAGTTGTGGAGTGAGTGGTAACAGTAGGGTGTCTTCAAACACCAAGATACAGCAATAAGCTCTTTCTTATCTACTTGTAGACTTGCAGGTTTGGGCAAAGACAGCTTCTTGTACTCTCTCAAATCCCTGTGCTACAGTTTTGTCTGTGGTGATGTCCCCACTCGCTGACCTCAGTCTGAGTGAAACACCTTGACATTTAATCTCAAACCTGTTTCACATTCCACTTTTTGAAGTGTTAACAGGTCTATGCTGATGCTCAGGCATGTGTTGAAATATAAGGACTCCCACGTCAACAGAACCCGTCACAAACTTATCTTAAACAGATACGCAAGGCGTCTGTGAAGGCTTGGTTAGATTGACACCTCCGTATTCATCCCACAGTTTTGACCTCAGCGACCCCTGATGAACCAGTCAACAGGCTCCATTAGTCAAAATGTTGATGGTACATACTTTTGACCCACAATGGAAAGTACCTGTCACTCTTTGTTATCCCATTTCTAAATTGAACTTTTTATAACTTAATTGATCTCGTCAGCTGTTTTGGTTTCCACTGGACTATTGACTGGCCCATATAATTGCAGGGATCAGTGAGCAGTCTGCACTCATAAGTCACCGCTGTGATGGTATCAGTGTGACATCATAAACCAACCTTTTGTTCAGAGCATTTCCTGAAACCTGCCCTTACCAATGACGAGACAGATTAAAAATTAAACACTGTCTGGGTTTGGTGTACACGTTGAATCACTGTCAAGTCATCATCTAAAATTACAAAAGAGCTAGATTTTTCTTCCCACCTACAGTACCTAAATTGCTCTTGTGATTCAGATTTTGTTGCTGGTAGTCAGTGCAGTTAAAAAATTCCATTGCAGTATAGACCTATGCAATTTAGGGAAAACATTGAATTGCGATTTATTTATCGACAGATATTGTGGTTGCGATAGGATTTACAATTAAATTCAAACTTCAAGCTGATTTGAATTTTATTCAAGCTTCAGCTTAATCTGTTAGCCGTGGCAACAATTCTGCCACAGCCCTTAAAATATATCTGTTTTTGTTTGGTGTCTGTGACTTTGAAACCAAAATATTCCTATATTACCAAATTTCTTTGATTTTTATTTGTCTATTAATGCTTCTGAAGCACCAGACACCGTCATCCCACTTGTCAACGCTTTCCTGTTTGTTTTCTTTTTTTTATTGTGGCTGTAGTTCAGTTGCGCAACTCTGATTGGGCAGAACAAAGCGTGCTCCCTCAATTAGCTAGTTATAAAGACCTGGTCAGATCACACCATTTCAGCATGACATAGCGTGTCAAGGGGAGTCGTAATTGACAAATGTACGTCATGAAACAAGATTCAATCATTTCTTCTTATGTAATGTGGCATAGTTTA